CATATCTGGATAGATTTTTCAGGAATGCTACGGAGCGCATCTGAAAAAGCTTTGGGGCGCACTGTTTGAGAACCACTGCTCTAAAGTATGAAGTGTTCCATGTCCCTTCATCGCATCAGATTCATACCTCTGTACAGGTCTTGTGATTCATATATCTACATAGCTTAATATACAGAAAGTTTTAACCTATCTTCTGCTATCTTCCAAACTCCTGCTCTTCAGAGTGGAAAATCTGATTACTGTATATTCAGAAATGTTGGTTCTTCTAATGTTATATTTCTTTCATCAGTTAATTATTCTTTAGGATGCAATGCATTCAGATAAATATAATTTTTTTTTATTCCAGTTAGATTTTAAATGAAAAATTGACATCTTGTTGTGAGGAGCTCAGGAAGAAACAAATGTATATTATAGAAATTCATGATGAGTTTTATTTTTAAGATTAAAATTATATGCTTGAAATTTTTATTAAGAGACAACACAGATCCACCAACGTGAAGAGACAGAGGAATGTGGAATATAGTAGGAGGCCTTAATATTCATAACATAAAAGAAGATTAAAATAATACACATTGGTGAAAAGGGTATTGAAGTTAAAAATTGGTAATATGCTATAATGTGGTCATATGATGATGTAATTATAAAAATTCAGGCTGCTACTGCAATTGAATATTATAGGTACCAGGAATGAAAATATGCAGTTAGGAGTAAACTTTATTAGTTTCTGGTAAATATTCATGTATAATAGTTTCATTTATATGAAAGTTATAATGATATATTTCAGAAAGACTTATAATTGCATTCCTACTGAAAATTAAAAATACATGTAGGTTGTGGTATCCAGTTGTGATTAAGCTACATGTGTAACCTGTATTAAAAAAAATATTTTTCTTATAGGTTTAAAGTTTCATTTTGGGAATTAGCTGTTATTAACTCTGAGAAATATGGGTCGTGAACGTTGGAGTTCAGAAGTTGAATTTATTCTAGCTATGATTGGATGGAATGCTCTAGGACCACATGGAGTTGTACATACTTACATGATGCTGGAAAATGGTGGAAGTAAGTGTTACTTCTCTTGTCTTAATGAAATAAAACTTCCTAAGTTTGATTTTTGTTGATATGTGAACTGTTTTTACAGACAGATGTTTTAGTGTGAATACATTCTAATTAAGATGCACATAACACTATTGTATAAATAATGGGTTGTATCAAAATAACACTAGTCTTATTAGATCTTGGAGAGAGATGCAAAACATATACTTTAACATTGTGAACCCGATGAACGAAGTAACCAGTGTAATATAAGTTAGATAAAGTTATTTGTATATATCATACATTCATTGAGTTACAAATGTATTTCTTCATGGATGAGAATTAGCTACTATTTGGTAGAATTTCACCATTTCTATTGTCAAGCTAGCCATCCACACAATTAATTTAATTCTGATGAGAAAATGTTGAAGGGGAAGAGGTGTTTGGGTTGGAGACAAAATACTAGAACTAGTAAGCATGATCTAAGATTGAACTGAAATTATCATACGAGTCTTTGTTTAGCTGGCTGATTGATGGACAGTTGATCAAAGTGCCCAACAGTTTCTGAAATATATGAACTGCTTAAGATGTAGCGTTGGACTATCAGACAGAATTAGCATAGAGGTATGCTTTAAATCTTTTGCCATCTGCCTTAATGGTGTGTGCTTTTTTGTCCATTTTGTACAGTTACATATATTAGACATGTTGCATACATTGGACATTATTTTTATTTGGGAAATCATTCAGATGAAGCTTAAATTATATGGAGATAGACCATAATCCAGTGAAAGCTGATGGAGCAGTATACCACAACATTATAAAAATTGTTTTAAATAATTAAGGGTTTTTGTTACAAATGAAAACATAAAAAACATACTATATGTTGCATATTCTAAAGTTATTTTCAGCTTCGTGTTATAGATGTCTCATAATAATCATAAGTTATGACTTTGCACTGATCCAAACAATCTGGTCAAGTATTACAATCCAGCATTTATAGATCTCAAAAAGTATTACATTCATTCCATAACATTAATGTGAGCATAATTTTTACAGTCAAAAAGCCTTACCATAAAAAAATCTAAAATAGTGTTTGATTTGTATTTGAATGCAATCAGAAGTTTTGTTCAGCAAATTTAATAAAATAAAAAGAAAAAACTGCAACCAACTTGTTTATCCGACTGATCTAATGCATAATCTACCGTTACATTATTATGTCCCTTTAATTACATATAAACATGTTTTGTATCTGATGATGAAGTAATTTGTTTTAGGTATAATACATTACCGAGATAAATTGATGTTCTTTGTGCAATGAAATTAAATTTTCAGTTTTTGTAATACTTTATAAGCAATTACAATATCAGAAACATTTCTATCTCTGATGATTTAGAGTTCGATATTGGTTTTAATTTCTTTACAGCCAGTCTCTTTGATTCTTACATCTTGTTTGTTGTTGGAAGTACATAGTATATCAAATTTCTTTCCAAAACATACTTGCCTCTGCTGACACTTAAAGCTATTGCTCAACCATCAGAGTTTCTTCTTTTGCCAATTTAAACATTGGTCTGATTTTTTTCGCACTTGCTCCAGTCTTTTATACCCCACTCAATTGCTCTTGGCGATATTTGTATTGGAATACTCTCCACTTATATCAGTGCACCCTCTATCCTGGTACTGTACTTGTTCAGATAATTTTATCACTTTTTCTTGACAAAATGTCACTAACAGGTTTCCCACTTTAACAATCGTTTGGAACTATTTTGAACGCTATTGTATTATCTAGTTGATTTTTGTAATAATAATAATAATAATTAAAAAATTTTTTTTGCTACTGATTGACAAGCCAATGATGGTTTGAATTCTCAGATTATGGAGGCAAATTGAGTTTCTTTTTTTCTACCTCTGATATCTAGGAGTGCACAACAATGGGGGAGGGGAGAATATCAGTGATCTTATTCGTGTGAGATGGAGACATATATTCGGATCTGGAGTGGTCCTCCAGGGGTTCTGAGGTGGCACTTATGGGTGATCCTGTGCCTTCTTTTAGTCTGTTGGATTTTCAGCCCCCTTTGGGACAGTGGTACATTTATGGACTTACAGTACTGGGATCCAGAGTTCAATTCCCTAGGGTGAATGCGGCCAATGGCTTGAAGCTGCTTTGGTCTAACAAAACAACTTCCTTCACCTGAAAAAATGCTGTTCCAGTCAATGGTAATCAAGACAATCTTTATATGACCTATGAAAAATATAAAGGAGGCCACTTTGGGATAAGCTGCCTTTGATTTGTTTATCTTCTGTTAGTTCTTCAAGAGTATGAGGTTTTGGGTTTTTTTTCTGGTTTCTTTTGAACCTGCACCTTAAGTGATGGCTGAAAGGTCTGGAAGGGAATTTTTAGTTTTTTCCCCCCATACATGGATATTGTGGTTCATGCTAGAAGGTTTACTTCTCAGTCATGTGAAAAGACAGTTAGATCTTATCCGACATATTGTAAGAACTTTGTGATTTAGCCTACCACCCCCAGGTGGAGGCATTTTTCTGACTCTCAAATAATACATCTGCTCCTCAAATTTCAGGGTTTTAAGGCAGAGTTTGTAGTTTACATACATAGTTCTATGTCCCCTGATGGGACAGAGTAATTCAATGGACTTAAAACTCAAATTCAACATTTTGTTTCCTTTCACTTCACTTTGTAAGAAGGCTCTCCAGATCACCAACTTCTTTGATGATGAGCTGGATCCCTTGTTAGCATGCATGTTGGTTCAATTTTTTGGCTTCTACATTCCTCCTGGTTGTTGTTGGAGTCTCAAATTCCACTGCTTCTATCAAACCAATTCTGCACTGGCAACCTCTATTTCACTATAATTACTACTGGTTGTAACAGGCTCTGTGGAAATGAGGTGTTCCATAAAACCACCTAGGAGCTCACCAGGTGGTATTACCACACTATGCTGGACTGCCACTCATGGACTGTCATGAGTAAAAACTAAAGGAGATCCTGCTTATCCCTGCCAATCATCAGATTGAATAAGTCAGGGTCGGTTTGTTTTAAAAATTTAGGGAACTTGGTTCACTTATTGCACTGTTTCCAGAACACTGTTTCTCAGGATGCCTCAACATGCATTAATCCACAGATTCTACTAGTGAAGCTAGGGAGTTCTTACCACACCTTGTTCCAGTCATTAGGGTGGTGGACAGAGGCTTTTCCTATAGAGAGTTAGTGAATTCCTCCACTTTTGGAGAAGAGGGCAAAGTTATGGGCCCTCCTACCTGGATTCCTGGATGTTTTTTTCCAGATGTTGACAGGAACAGCACCAGCCTATGCAGGAGCCTACTCATAATACTGGTTCAGATTTTATGCTTGGCTGTCCGGTTGAGGTGTGCATGTCCTTTCTTTTTGATCAATATCGGGTCATTGTTCATGGAAGGGGGTCCATTATCTCCTCATAATTCCGAAGGAGGAGTGGTCCCATCCTGGGTCCTTGGTTGAACACAGTTTTTCCACGTCCTCTCCATAATTCTGGGGGCAAGTGGAATTTACCTTGTTTGAGGAGTGAGGATGAATGTTCATCATTCCAGACTGGATGAGTTCTGTTCCTTTGGTTGAGTATGGCATACATGATCCCTTTATTCTGAGCCTGGGTTGTTACTTTTCAGGTTTATTCATGTGGAGGAGAAAGTTTGACCACGTGAGGGTTGCTTACATTTTTGTCGTGATTCCGGTGGTTCATAACGCATTACTCTATGGCTACAGGTTGGGACTCAATCAATAGTATATATGTACATGTAACTTTGCAGTCCAATTGCTCTACCCACCAATGTGGGATATAAGGACCAAGACCCCCTTAATTCCAACCCTGAGTGGTGGAACCTTAGCTATCTGGTTAGGGCTGATCTATGGTAATGATCACTCATACAGGAACTAAGTTGAGGGTGAAGAGCATACCTGTTCTGGATGTAGTGCAGTTCCCCCAATAGGGTGCTAATCTTCTATTGACACACCCATGATCTATGCAGACGCTTTCTATATAGATAATGCCCTCCCCGGCCCATCACCTTCTCGATGTGGGATTCTAGTTATAAGTGTCAGCAGAGGGATGTTTTGGAAGTTAACATTTTCCTAAATTGAAAATGTATTTCCAATAATATCTCCACTGACACTCTCTCACCCTTCCTCCCTACTAAGAGCTGGTGTTAGAGACTGGGATGGTGTCAGTCTGTCAAAAGTGATAAAATTATCTGAATGAGGTGCTTATATACAGTACCAGGATAAGAGGGTGCATTGACATAGGTGGATAATATCATAATACAAATATTGCCAAGAGCAATTGAGTGGGGTATAAAAGACTAGAGCAAATAAAAAAAAATCAGACCATTGCTTGGATGGGCAAAGAAGAAACCCTGGAAGCTGAGTAATAGCTATAAGTGTTAGCAGAGGTAAGTATTATTTTCAATTTAGGATAATGTTAAATATCACCAGAAGTTCCATTATATTCCTGTTCTAGGTGTTTGAAAATATTTAAAGAATTGCCAGTATTGGAATTCAAATGTTCTTTTATATACCGCTCCAAATGTTGCATGGTGGATTTCACGTAATTTATACCAGATCAAAACAAATCTATTGAGAAGAAGCATATAAGTAAAAAAGTGTTGGAGCAATGAAGTTTATCTTAAGTTTTCAATTTTCAATACTTATTTGAAAGCTATCCACTAAAATTTCTGGTTAGTTCAAATAACTGCAAGATAGTCTTGACTTTCTCCATATATATATCATACCTCACAGAATAGCTTCTCTCATTCATTGCTGCCCTCTATATGCATACTTTTTTTTTGCTCACCACTAGCCTTGAAACTTCCACCTATCCCATATTCAGTGTTGTCCTACTGCATCTTTGCTTTCAAATAAGCATGCAGCAACCCTCCACCAGAAGGAGCATGACACACACTCCTGACACAAGTTACTCCATCTACACTATTCAGCTTAACCTTCACTTCTTGTTTAGGCACAGTCGTGATTGGATGTTATAACATTTTGCTCATGCTTGAAACTTTGCACTTGATTTTTTTCTCAAAGTAGTAGATTAACTTAGTGTTGAGTGAAAGCAAACTTTTCATGACTTGCCTCATTTGATCCATAAATTCTGAATTCCATGCCAAACACACCACTATCATGACTACTGTTACTTCGTCTGTTGTTTCTTAGGATTCAGATTCTGCACTTTCAGCTGAGGATGTCTCGGCCTTAGTTTGACAGGAGCTTGAACACTACATGGGGTTGCCAGCTTCTCTCAAACCTGTACATGAGCCTCCTTTTTTGTAGGAGTCTGGTTTTGAAGAAAACAATTTAGAGAGCACTTTTTCCTCCCCCATCCTATGCCAGGCAATCTTATGTGTCACCTGTGGATGTTGCCAGGCTGCCCTCATCCTTTTTTGGGGCATGATTTCACAGGTGTGTTATATTTTGTCTGTGTCCTTTGTCTTGTCTGTCCGTGCATATTCCTGTTTACAAATAGCTCCTTAATCAAAATACCTTGTTTTTCCACTCTGTCTGGGTATCAGAGTTCATCCTGACCTGTTCCATGCCCAGTTACGTGCATGATCCACTATGCCTCATCCTCCTAGATCTTTGTATCTTTTTGCTTTGGCTTATTACCAAGTAAATTTTCCTTTTTCAGACTCACAACACTGTAAATGTGGGGGCCAGACCTGATTTTCTGGTTCAGTTCTTCAGTTTTTATTTGGTGGCTTGTGAGGGTGACTATTCTTTTCTGCTGATTTCCCTCCATTCCATTTCCCATCTATACTTCCATTCAGATTCAGATAGACATTTATGTCCTGTTCATGCTCTACATTGTTATATCATCTGCATGGCTTCCTTCTGTGGTTCTCATTCCAGATTATTCATTCCTTGGAACCCATCCTTTCTACATGATCTTTCACCTTCTACCCTCACGGATTGGATTTGTCAGCTTATTTGGCTGGTATATATATTTCCTTCTCTCCCGAGTCTCAACATCTTTTCCTGGTGTCATCTTTACAAATTCAACATCTTACTTTATTCCTGGAAGCTCATATGTGTTGTCCTTTGGAGAGCATAATCCAGTCTGGTATATGGACTACACCTAACACATTCATTTCCCATTACCTATATCATATGCCTGTTTCTCCCTCATCTGGATATCACATTCCACCTGTTGACATTCTAAGGCAATGGTTCAACTGTGAATCAGTAATTTTACTCCCTCTCCTACACAGTCAAGTCCTTTATAGGTAGTGGATTCCACTTGGTGGCATGTAGTGCCTATACAGGTATACTTTTGGCTATCAGATGCAAAATCTGCATTGTATGGCCTATCACACAAAGAGTGTATGTATACATATACACCATCTGGAGTATCCCTAGTGCACCTTCTCCAATGGGTCAAAACCTGGAGGCTGGACCAGGTGATCTGTTGGCTGGGATGCCCCACTAGAGAAAACCAGGGGCTGGACCCACCAATCAAAGGGGATAGTGCCCATCTCTGCTGATCCTTCAGTTGAATAAATTGGGGTGGTCTGCTTTTCAAAATATGGTTCTTATGGTCACCCATTGCATCGTCTCTGGTGCCAATATTCCTTTGGACCCCACAGTGCATCCCCCCTTCTTCATATGGATTTCCTAACCACTAGAGTAGATCTACCATAATGCATTTCCCCCCTCCAGTTGGGATCCCCCATTCTATCATTGCATGGATGTCAGTTCCCAAATGATAGGTTTTGGATTAGAGCTGGACTAGCCAACATCATTCCTCATGCATGTGTGGATTGGTAGCCCTTGTCCTACCATGGATATAATTTACTAGTTTTTCAGGTTCCTCTGGCATACCTCCTCTATCAAGCTGAGGTTTTGGTGTTCAGTATTGCAAGGAGATGGATTGACTAACAGGTACTCTGGCTACTTGGGATACCCTTGACATACCTCTTGTGGGTTGCGACTCATCAGTTCTGGTAGTGCATGGAGATGAACCTAGAACCAGAAGCCCAGTTGGTTTTCGATTTGAGTGAACCACCACATGGGCACTTCCCTTCCTATAGTATTCGGACATTCTTCAGATGCTTTCTGTAGGATGTTCATCTGGGTAACTTGGATTGGTCCTTCCACCTTTTCAGTGTGGGACTCTAGCTATTATGTAAGCAGATGTAGGATAGTATATCTGAAGTATTTTCCTACATTGAAAATATATTTCCAATAGGTGCTTACCTTGACTTGTACTTCCCACCCTACCTCCCCACTTCTGGTACTTCTTTTGTGGCTAATCTCAAAGTGAAGGTTAGGCTTAATAGTATAGAGGGAGTAACTTGTGTAGTGTGGGATAGTGTTTATGATAAATTTATGTTTTTAGATGACCTCCATAATCATTCAATCTATAAAGACAAATTTGAGTTATTTACTTCTTTCACTGTAAATTTAGTACAAGGATATTATTTGTTAAGATATTCTAAGAATGAAATCACTTCATTTTATATACCATAGTGTCAAAGGATGCTACAAAATCCTTAGTGATTTGGGAACCAATTAATGAAAAGGTAATTACAATGAGAGTTTATTAAAAAATTAATAAAAATAATAAATAATAAATAAATAAATAATTAATAATGTCGCTTTTTTTTAGATGAAAACATCTAAACAACTTATATATAAAAACAAAACATTTATTAAATGTAATAGTCTCCATTCTCATCAATGATGCTTTTCCATCTTACAATCAGGTTATGAATGCCCTGATTAAAGAAATCACTTGGCTTTGAAGCAAAAAAACATGTCAATGTCCTCTTTAGCACCTTCCACATTTGCATACGTTTTTCCA